CCTGTCAGCCAGAGAGGAACTTGCCTCCCAGGATGTGGTTTCACACAGGTCTGACAAAATTTCCATCCAACTTCCAAGACAGACAAGACAATGATGAATCAGTGATGGGTGGGGCCATACCTTGACCCACACTGATTAGCTACACATACCTTTTGCCTTCCATTTAAAGCTGACTGTCCTGTCAAAACTCCAAGGATAGGCTTGGCAGCCAGTGTGACCAACTGAAGAGATCTCCTTTCTCCTTCACGTGTCTCTTTAAGGCCCAGTGAGGATGGATGAGCTTGCCTATCAGGAATGCCAAGGGACTGGCTCTGGCCTAACAACTCCAGTAACAGATTAAAGGTGACCTGAGACAAGACTACTAAGCAATGCATAATTTAGATTCAATCCAGGAAAAAAATACTAAGAAGGGCACTATTATGGCTGGCAAAACCTGGAGTAATATTATAGAGTAGGTAACAATTCTGTGTAACTGTTAAACCCCGTTTTGGTAATACAAATCTGGTTGTTAAGAAAACCTACTTGTTCTTGGAAAACAAACCCTGTTGCTTAGGGGTAAAGAGTTGTACTGTCTGGAGCCTCCTCCTGAATGAAAAACTTGAATATATAGCAGCTAGTGGGAAGGAAAAGTTGGGTAGAGCATATGAGTCCTCATTATTTTTGAGATTTGTATGTACATTGAGATTATTTCAAAGTAAGAAGTTAATCATAAGTAAGTAAGTTGAGTCTAAGAAACACAAAGCCCTTAAAACAAGGAACACATAGTTCATATGGCCTCTGTTCGTCTTGGTCCAGTTCCTTATGGTCAGGCTGGAAAGGTCAGCTTGATGCCAATATAACTGCTCTATGTCTTTAGACACAGAGGCCTTGCTCTGCCTGATTGCACAGAACGGGACTGCCAGTGGAAAGAATTGGCGAAATGGTTGCAATGGCACCATTTGACCAACCACACCTTTTGTGTGGCACAGGTGTTGTAGTAGTGAGCTTTGCAAACGACCCAGACAGAAGATCAGCTCCCCAGGAGAGAAACTGTGCTTATACCTGCCAGAAGAGGGCGCTGCCTCCTCTGGTGTACATCCTGAAGGGCATCACATCAGCTGATGCCCAGCGATGCCCAGCAACAGGATTAATAGTGAAGGAGACAGAGTCCAGGTAAATGAAAGGTCCCATCTGTGTTCTTATTTAAGATATTGATACTCTGTTCACAATGGATTTTTTGCATAAAGTTTGGTTTTTACAAAGTGAGGAATTAAGCTGGCATTGGTAGTGGTGGTGGCACATGCCTCTAGTCTCAGCACTTGGCAGGCAGAGGCAGGCAGATCTATGTGAGTTTGAGACTGGCTTGGTCTACAGAGTGAGTGCCAGGACAGGCTCCAGAGCTACACGGAGAAGGAATTAAATTGCCTTGATTATTAGTTTGTTTTGCACTGTCTTGAATTTTGTCCCCAATGTCAGCATCTCCCTGAACTATCCCTAGCACCAGCCTGGCAGATCTAATAATCTGTGCATCACAACAGCAGCAGCTCAGAGTCTTTGGTTGGTTAGGCAAGGTCTGAGGTTACACAGGCCTTTCTGTATCTGTAAATAAAGAATGAGCTAAGAGAATTAGTTCTGAGAAACCAAAGGAGTACCTTTGATGTCACACCATGGCCAATGGCTGAGGCTCAGTGTCTTTATCTCTGACTTTCTCCTCATCTGTAAGATAGAAATAACAGTGCTTTCTCTAAGTTTTTTTAGAAGCTGTTTCTCTAATTCTGTGTGTATATGTTGTATATGAGTGTGCTGTGTATGGTGTATGCTCATGTATGTGTGGGGGGTGTGAAAGGAGGGTGTCAGGTGTCTGCCTCCACCCCTCTTCACCTTATCCCTTCGAATCAGAGTCTCTCTCTGAACCTGGAGTGCTGTCAGTTTTTGTCTAGACTGGCAGCCAGCAAGTCCCTGTCTCTATTCCTTACAAACCTGGGGTTGTAGGTATGCATGAGACCACACCCAAATTATTACACGGGTACTGAGATCCAGATTCAGATCCTTGTGAGTTTGCTTCTCAACCAGTGTTCCTAACTAGTGGGTTCTCTCTCCAGTTCAAAGATAGCAATTTTTTATTTACACAGATGAATGGCCAAGCGCTGTGCTGAGTTCGCGATTCAGTTAAAAACTAAAATTTAAAGGTGAGGAAATGGGCACAGAGAGGTTTAGTTGTTTGTGTAAGGTTGAACAGCCAGTAACTGGAAGTACAATTATTCTAAGTTCCACGCCAACATTCTCAACTAAGTGATTTCCTGCGCTCCTGAGGTTGTCACAGCATGGGAGATACCAGCACCTAGCTAGAAATAGCCAGGAGGCCGCTAGACACTCTAGAATGCTATGGACAGACCCATGCCAAAGTGTTACCTGGCACTGAGTTAGTTAGCTTCCATCACTATAACAAACACCAAAGGCAATCAACTTATATAGATGATTGATTAATTCTGGCTCAGTCTTAGAGGTTAAGCCCATGATCCACATTTATTTGTAGCCCATGAAGGGCATGTATTTCATAGTAGGAATATATATTGAAGCAAAGTTGCTCCCCTCATGGCTAGGGCATGAAGGAAAACCAAAAGGAGACCATAGAAAGGGTTGTTGTCCCATAGTCCCCTTCAGGGCACACCTCTAATGACCTAAAACCTTCCATTAGGTGCCAACTTTTATAGTTTCTACCACTTGGCAGCCTCATGCTGGTAATTAAGTCTCTTACACATGAGTCTCTCTCTGGGTCTGGGGTGGATACTTGAAATGCAAAGTTTAGCAAGATCCCAAAAGTCTGCCAGAGTTAGTCCCTAGTACCCCATGGAAGGAGATGTCATTCCAGTGGCTGTTACTATTGTTTTCTTTTGTCTGTGTGGTTAGGGAAGGGAGTAAATTTGGTTGTCCAGGGAAATTGAGCATCCATACTGTCATGGAGAACCTGGGCTTTGGAGAATCATCTGAGCACCACATTTTGCATTCAGTAGCGATTTATTAAGCACCTCATTCCTCCCTGGCCAGCATCACACACGTGCACGCGCACACACGTCATCTGAAGAGCTGTCTAGTGAGAGGGCAAACATTAGATGAGGAAACATGCAGCTCATCATACATTGTGGTGCCTGGAACAAAGCATAGGACCCGGACCCCACGAAAGAGAAAACACACTTTCTGAGAGTGTGGAATTATGTCTGAGATGGGAAGCAGGAGTCAGGAGCAACAGTGGGTGTAAGGGGTGATACAAACACTCTGTGGTGAGAAGTGAAAACCAGACTGTGGAGAGAGGCAGAGCGACAGGAAGTGTGCGTGACTTAGAGCATGCGAGGGGTGAAGGCCCTATCAAGGAATATGGTCTTTCGGTCAAACAAGAGTCTTTAAGGACGCTGGAGAGGGAGTTCAGTTGGTTGCATGCTTGCCTAGCACATATGAGGCGCTCCCTGATTTAGCCTCCAAAAGTGCATAAATGGGGAATGGTGGTTCTCAGGAGGTGGGGGCAGGAGTACTAGAAGTTCAAGGTTATTCTTGTCTGCATAGGAAGTTTGAAGTCAGCCTGAGCTAGAGACCCTGTTTCAGAGAAAGACTTTTGAAAGCACAAGACTTGGGCTTCCCTTCACTTGGTGATTTTCTTCAAGCCAAGCACAGCCCTCTGTATAGGCTGTCATGTAGGGTTGAAACTGAGAGCCCGTTTCACCAGCTGACACAAAGGTGTCTGCAAAAATATAGCTCTCATCTCACAGGGAATATGAGAACCAAATATGAGTGGCATGTTCTAGAAGCACAGATCTGGGCTACCCCAAATACTGTGTCCCCACAAGTTTTAGGATTTAAAAAAATTTTTTATTTGTTTATTCATTTATTGTATGGGTGTTTTGTCTGCATGGATATCTGTGTACCATGTGTATGTTGGGTGTCTGTGGAGGCCAGAAGAGGGTGTCAGAGCCCCTGGAACTGGAGTTACAGACCATGGTGAGTGGCCGTGTGGGTGCTGGGAATTGAACTCAGGACCTCTGGAAGAGTGGTCAGTGCTCTTACCAGCTGAGCCATCTCTCCAGCCTCATAGTATGTTTTTATAGGAACAAAACAAAAGAAACATAGATGGGAATACAGGGTGGGGGGGTTCCAGGAAATCAGGAAAATCCATGTTATTGACCTCAGCTGCTACCTGATGACTTTCTTGGATTCTGGGTTAGTGAAAGGAAGACAGGGTTCTGATTGTGTATTCCAACAGGGTGTCACCTGATTGTCACAAGGATGTTACATCAGGCACAGAAGCTGGCAATGAATGGCCTTTAAAGGGCAATAAAAATGGCTGCAAGATAATTTGACTCTGTAGTCACAGTAGTTCTATTAGTCTATCAGCATTAAAGCGTCTCTAATGTGGGTGTGGCTTTTTTTTTTCTGGGCACTTTAGTTCACACAGGTGAATTTTGTTAGAGTTACACAATTGTAAATGGTGCCCCCTCCTTGTCCCAAGCCCAAGGCCAAGCCCAAGGTGAAATGTGATGACGAAGTAATCTGTGCACATCACAGGATTATGCTGCGCTGTTTGCTCATTCCTGTCCACAGTAGCATCAACCACTGGAAACACCTGTTTGGGTCATGTGGCCCATCCCTGCTCAGCATGGGGACTTTACTGCAGTGCAGACACCTTGTTTCTTTCTGCTGCTTCTGAGGGACTCTGTCTGTGACACTTTTGCTCTTCATGGGATCTTCATCTTGCCTCCTGAAATCCCAAGTTATCCTTTGCTTCATTTCATTCCAACTAAACCTGACCTTATAAACCTATGGAGCTGGTTAAAGAGTCACCGACTGACTGTATAGATGTGTCCAGCAGCAGTTATTTACCAACTCTATTCCCCCTGCAGATGGTTCCTCTGGCCCAGTGCCCTCTGGGTGGACACTTCCAAGTTCATGAACTGTCATAAAAAGACCTACGACCACAGGAGACATGTCCGGAGAGCAGAAGTGACCCCCACCTCCAACCCTGCCCTCTGAGATTATAACTGGCTTTAAGGAGGCTGATGTCTAAATTAGGCATGCCACTTTCCTTACAAGGACGATGAAGCCAGAGATCTGCCTAAGGCCAACCCATTGTCTTCATTTCCTTGGGGATTGAAACCCATGATTGTGAGTTCCTCAGAGAAGTGAAAGCAGTCTAGAGGGATCCAGTAATTCCTGTTATCAGCAGGCTTTATAAGTCAGTGAGCCAGGAGCTGTGTCTTCATCCAGACGGAAGTCACAGGAGTGCAAAGATGTCCCTGCACCCAGTTTCCTTGCGCCTGGCCTCCTTGCTGCTCTTCTCACTTGTCCTCCATGGTGCCCTGACCCTGAGGCTCTGCTCCTTCAATGTGAGGTCCTTTGGAGAGAGCAAGAAGGGAAACCACAATGCCATGGATGTCATTGTAAAGGTGAGTTGTGCTCCAGTCCTGGACACCTCTTACAGCTTCTCCCTAGACTCAAGGGACTTGAAATTTGCCCCCCCCCCAGGGTAGGGTAAGGACAACAGTAACCACCGTCAGCTCTGGGTGCTTTTCGTTATATCTCCAGACTGGGTGGTATTGTGCCTCCCACAGGCATGTTGCAAGGCCACTGAGCATGTAAACATGACACTTTTGTCAGAGTCTGGCCAGCTGTCAGTTCTAGGTATGGGCTGTTGTTCTAATGGTTTAAATTAAACATACTGGATGTCTGTGTCTGGCACTATAAATACATGATCTCATTTGTCAGCCTCTCAAGCAAGGACTATTGTTCCCCTTGTGGAGAAGATGAATTCAGAAGGGCGATGTGAAGCTGGGCAGCTCCAGGGAGGGGTGTTGAGGAAACTGGTGCAACCTTGTCTGCTTCATCTTTATAGTCATTGGCAGAGCATGCTTTCTCTCCTGCTCTTCCTCCTTCCCTCCCCTTCATATCTCTCCCCCATTTGTCTTCTCCCAACTCTCAATTCTGAACCTTCTCTGCTTGTGTATATTACTGTTCTTGGGTAATATGACCAATGTTTAGGGAAATTGCTTATGTTCCTCTGGAGTCAGTTGACTCTTTGTCCTGTGGGCTAATTTATTTTTGATGCTTTGACTCTGGTGGGATGGCTATTACTTAAAACAAACAAACAAATACAGCAGGATTGGGGTTTTATTTGGTTGGCTTGGGAAGTCTAGAGCTGTATCCTCAGCACTGCATGAACCAGGCATGGTGTTGCCCACCTGTAATTTCAGCATTAGGGAGGCAGAGGTAAGAGGATCAAAAGTTCAAGGTCATCCTTGTCTAGCTAGCAAATTAAAAGTCAGCCTGGTCTAGATGAGACCCTATCTTCACACACACACACACACACACACCAACAAAAGAGACCCCCATGTGTGGTGAAAATACCAGCAGCCCTAGATACAGACCCCATCTGTATCTATCACCTGAAGCTCAAGATCTCTTATCGTTCTGGTTCTTCACATGGAGTGGGCCTCCTACTGAGTGGCTGGTAAGGCTGATGAGTGAAGCCCAGCAGAACCAAGAGGCTGGTGTTTCTCTTTTGCTACTGTTGGGCAGAGAGGATACAGGTAGAAGAACCACTCTGCTCTTGCCAAGATAGTCCTGGGCTGTAAGTGACTCTGCCCTTAAGATGATAACCAAGACCCTCTGGATATTGTGGTTTTACCAAGACAGCTGTGCCAAGCCTATGGGAATCCTGATATCATGGCTTAATTGAGAAATCTGGCATACAAGAAACCGATTTCCCAACTCCTTCATATATGGCCCAGTGAAACTTGGGGACCTAAGTTCCTATCTGTGTCCCTGGCAATGTTGCCACACTCTTGGGGGCTGTGTTTTTGTTCTTTGGTGATTTCATTTCCCCCAAGCTGTGAGTTCCTACCCAGTGTGCCTATAACCTTTGTCAAGACTTTATCCCATTCTCATGTGGAGGGACAAGAGCCAGTCCCCCAGAAACCATCAGAGCTATTTAACAGAGCAGTGGTGATTGACCCCCAAATACCTGCTGTTCAATTAGAATAGTTAGTAGGGATCGTATGGATCAAAGGGAAAGACATATTTGCTGCCAAAAGGATGCAAACAACCCAAGTAGGAAAACATTCAATTTAGTGATGTAAATGTACCATGAGAAGGGCATTATGTAACACTAGAAGCTGTGTTTTAGAAGAATATTGCCACATTTCTCATAAGGTCTATGCTGGTCAAGCTCCCTATGTAATCAATGGTGACCTTAAACTTCTAATGCCCCCTGCCTCTGCTTCCTCAGTGCTGGGACTAAAGGCATGTGCTTTCATGCATGATTTATGCAGGGCTGGGGACTGAGCATAGGGCTTTGTGCATGCTAGGTAAGAATTCTACCAACGGAGTCAAGTCCCATCTGCTGGTGTAGTACCTTCACAGCCCTCATAGCCCTCTGTATAGTTGGTTACTCCAAGGCTCAGTGAGTGTTAGTAAGCTGAACACCAAGGATATGTGTGTAATGTGCTGCCCTACATTACAGACCTCCTTCCTGGCCACCCCACTCAACAGGCAAGGAAATTATCATGTCAAAGGCCAAGGTCCCTCTCTTGTGTGACCCATTGGCATAGAGCAAGTGTAAGCCAGGGTTAGGTTCCCTTCCCTGAGAAAACAGCCACGTTTCCTGTTGACATCCCTATTCTTTGCTTACCAAGCATTTCTGAGCCTTAACTCTCCAGCTGATACTGGTTTCCAGTTTCCTTGCTCTCTCTAAGATGTTTTTCTTAGACAAGAATCTGCAATATCCTGCTGTCCAAATTCTCAAAAGGGCAGAGGATGGGGGGAAACCATATTTCTTTTGGTTCTTAATCCTCAGGAAGAGACTCCCAGGTGGCTCTTTCAGAACCAAGCTCTGGACCCTTTAAGCTTTCATCATTGCCAAATTTTGCCTGTTCCCAGAAGGGAGCCACAGTCTAAGAGCAGTTATGCTATGCACTATACTACCAAAACCTCTGAGAGCAAGAGTCTGAAGGACTCTGAAGACTGATGTTTCTGTCTCAACCGGCCCCACAGCCATTTAGTCCCAGATAAACACACGGAGGCTTATATGAATTATAAACTGTTTGGCTGATGGCTCAGGCTTCTTATTGGCCAGCTCTCTCTTAAATATTAACCCATTTCTATTCATCTGTGTATCGCCACATAGAATTGGTTTACCAGAGAGCATCCGGGCCTCTTTCTTCCTCATCAGCTACACGGTATCTCTCTGTCAACTCACTCTCTGCATTCCTCCTCCTTGCCTTCTCCTAGTCTGGTCGTCCCTCCTGTACTTCCTGCCTGGCTACATCCTGTCTGCCCATTGGCCGAAACAGTTTTATTCATCAACCAATAAGAGAAACATATATTTCATAGTATACAGAACATCCCCCATCAGGGCTGAGCATGGCTAGTGTAGATGGAATCCAGATATAATGGGTTGTCGTTGGTACTCTGAAGGAGAGGGAAAGAATAGTCTGGAGAGTCTAGAAAGATCTTGGGTAGAGACAGACTCACAAAACCCTACCAAATGTCTTTAAAGAGGAAACAGCATAGCATGATGGAGAAAACCTAGGGTTCAATCCACTTCTCTATCACTTACATGCTTCAGCGCACTGGGTGGCTCACACTCTAATTGTCCCATCTGTAGCATGGACATGATTAACAAGGACAACTGTGAGGCTGAACTTGGATTCCACCTGTTATGGACCTATCACAAAGCAATGATTATGACGTACTGTAGGGCCTGAAAAGGGTGACAAGTGACCCCCATCCACCATTCCACCCCCAATGCCTTGGAGTATCTAGAGCAGGCTCTCTGTTCAGCAATGACTTGATGAATGAACAAACCCTGTTCAGGAGGATGTAAACTAAAGAACACAGGAGACCCCCCCAGGTCTGGCTTAGTGTCAGATAACTACAAATGGTTGGACAGGAAAACAAGATGCTCTACCCATGCTCATGAAAGGCAGATGACAAAATGTTGACCATTTTGTGCCTGATGTGTTTTGTCTAGTGTAGAAAAATAGCTTCTGTAGTCAGGATTGCCCACAGCTCTTTGAAAACCTGTAGAGTTAGGGCAGCATCCAAAGCATTGACTTTCTCAGTGATACAGAGGGATGAGGCTAGGGAGATGCTTCAAGTAAGATATTTGCTAATCAAGCATGAAGAGCTGACTTTGATCTCCCAGAACACATGTGAAAAGGCCAGGTGTAATGGTACAGGCTTGTCATTCCAGTGCCAAAGAGGCAGAGACAGAGGGATTGCTGGGACTTATTATGCAGCCAGCCTAGCCTAATCTTCAAGTCAGGTCTCAATGAGAGATCTTGTCTCAAAAAACAAGACGGAAGGCTCCTGAGGTTGACCTCTAGTCTCCATAGGTCCTCACATACATAGGTATATCCACACCCACAAATGTAGGTGTCTACCCCCTACACACACACACACACACACACACACACACACACACACTCTGAATGCTGCCAATGTGGTAATATTAAGTACAAATGAGAAAGATATGGCCTGTAGTAGGTACTCAACCACTGGGCCTTAGAAATAATAATCTGCTATTGACCACCTGCATAGCTGGCACTGCCCTTAATTATCACTCCATCATACTACAATTGTAAAGGATCAAAATGGAAAAATTGAATCAAAGCGTGTGTACATATGTTTGTCTTTGTGTTTTGAGACAGTGTCTCACTTTGTAGGCCAGGCTGACATCAAACTAACATAGATCTGCCTGCCTCTGCCTCTTTGTGCTGAGATTAAAGGTGTGAGTCATATACCCACTGCATGTGTGGATTTTGAAGTTTCTTTTAGAAAGGTCTGGTAGTTTCCAGTGACTTACCAACACAAAGTTCCTGTGAGTCCTGTGTGGCCAATGCTGTGGGTTTCATCTAGAATCCAGGCTTTCAGACCAGTCCCAAGCTCTTTAAAAGCTAGTGCTGGGGAACCTGAATTCCACCCTACTGCAAATGTAACTGGAGATGTTCTGTAAACAGAGGTACTCCATGACTTTGATGCTGTGTGTGATAACAAACTAACCTTGGGATGCTTCATCCTCCATGGACACATCCTGTTGCACTGAGTCACCAGCATCCCATTACTCAGAGCCACATGGCCATTAAGGGGTGTGAGCTCTTTCTGCTACCTGACCACAGCTCATCCTGACAAAGTCTCTTGTATTTTTTTCTCCCACTGAATTATTTCTAAACTTTTCAGGGACCAAAGGCTCTCTCTCATCCCAGGAGCCTTCCCTGATCTTCTGACAGAAGCAATCTATTATCCCTCAACATGCCCAGCATGCCAATGTCTTGTGACTTTTATTTTGCACAAATTCTACTTTTCCTCCATTATACTTACTTGCTTCCATTAGACACTGAGTCTCTGAGTGACTGTATTTTAACAGATGAGCATAATGAAACCTATAGAACCGAGCTGGATCCCTGGCTTCCCTACCTGCATTGGCTTCGTGACTTTAGTTAGCATCTAGATTTAATGGGCTAACCATCATATCCGTCTTTTAGTGTTATGAAGTAGGTTCACAATAAATGTTAACTTTTATGGTTGTTATCACTGTAATTATTCCTTCTGATATCTGTAATACCCAGCCTTTGCTCACTAAAGGCTTAACAGGTATTTATACTATTGTTACTACACTCACTCAACCCAAGCTGTAGGATGTGTGGTAGGTAGCATCATGGTTAGGGCTCTGGTTGGTTGCTTCCATTTAGATGCCAGTGTGGCTATTTCTAGCTCCATGGCTGGGTACTTGACCTTGTCTGATCTTCAGTTTCATTAGGACATGTCAGCTGGGTGTGGTAGTGCACACATTTAATTCCAGCACTTTGGAGGCAGAGGCAGGCAGCTCTCTGAGTTCCAGGCCAAGCAGGGCTATATAGTGAGACCTTGCCTCAGATAAGAAAATTAATTTAAAAAATTAAAATGGTCAGAAAATAATTAAACAGCAACAGCCAAACCACTGGGTACATGATGAGCCCTTGCAATCCTAGTCCCTCGGGACTGCAGCAGGAGGACCACTTCAGCTCTAGAGTTTGGGACCAGCCTAAGCAATGAGATCCCATCTCAAAATATCAACAAAACAAAAGGGACACAACAAAGGGCCTTCTCAGGAAGTCCTTCTTTTAGTTCAGGAAGAGATTAGGTTATGCCAGCAAGCACCTGTGCAGTTTTCCCACCGGCTCGTCAGCCCAAATAACACACAGAGACACTGTATTAGATATAAAGCTGTTGGCCTGTTACTAGTGTTACTTATTGGCTAGCTCTGCCTTAAATATTAACCCATTTCTATCAATCTAAGTATTTTCCACGTGGTCTTATCTTACTGGAGAGAGGGTCCAGACCTCTTCCTCTCTCAAGTCTCTACATCTTGAATCTCCTCTACTACATTCCCCAGAATCCTCCTTGTCCCCTAGTCCTTCCTATCTTGCTTTCCTATTGGCCAACATGGCTTTATTCATTAACCAATAAGAGAAACATATTTACAGAATGACATCTCCCATCAATTAGGTTATGCCAGCAAGCACCCAACTATGGTGCTTGGAGCCCAGCAAGTGATTGATGAAAAGTTTTATGATTTACAGAAAATAGCCTCAAGCCCTGGAAATTCTCTCTCTGCAGATCATCAAACGCTGTGACCTTATACTCCTGATGGAAATCAAAGACAGCAGCAACAACATCTGCCCCATGCTGATGGAAAAACTAAATGGGTAAATGTGGAGAGGGATGGGCCCCCAGAGAGCTTCAGGTCAAGTGCAAGGGCACTTGACAAATAGCAGGGGAGTAGAAACCAGTGTCACGGCTGGTATTTAGTCTAATCATTAGGCCATGTGGCCAGGGCCCAGCAGGCTTCTGTCTTAGCTGCAGTCCTGTGACCGTGCACTTGCTTGGTTTTAATATGACAGAGTGCAAACAGCTGAAAAGGTGAAGGATTAGGACAGGCACGAGAAAGTAGTAGGTAAGAGATGAGCTAAGAAGTCCTGATGTAAAGAATGTAGGTGGACGTTTCTGTCCTACCCTGTCCTGCAGACGCTCAGTCCCAAATAAACACACAGAGGCTTACATTACTTATAAACTTTTGGCCTGTTGCTCAGGCTTATTACTAACAAGCTCTTACAACTTAAATTAACCCATAACTCTTACCTGTGTTTAGCCACATGGCTTGGTACCTTTTCTCAGTGAGGCATTCTCACCTTGCTTCCCCTGTGTCTGGCTGAGACTCACCCTCTCTGCCTTCCCTCTTCCCAGAATTCTCCTAGTCTATAGCCCTGCCTATACTTCCTGCCTGGCTACCCACCAATCAGTGTTTTATTAAACCAATACAAGTGACAAATCTCTAGAGTGAACAAGACCATTATCCCACATCAGAAGGAATGGAGAGGCCAGGAGAAGCTGATTGGAAAGTCATGATGAGCCCCCAGGTTGTAATATTATATAGTTAAATATTCCAGCATGGAAAGATGGCTACCATGTATCAGGAATAGCGAGTTCAGCTCACCATGTTATTCTCACATGAATATTGGGGAAATGCGGAGCGGTGAGTCAAGGACTATTAATAGTTACTTCTGGGAGATAAGACTGAAAAGCCACCGTGGATCTATGTCAGTGAAAGAATAGGAGACCATTTTTATTTCAATACTTTATCTGATTTGAGTGTTTTATCACCAGAACAAGTTGATTTTATAATCTGAAAACTGGTGGAAACAAAAAGCAGTATCATCCGATAGTTTTAAATGACACTGGGTAATTAATACTCATGATTTAGTTTCCTTCTGAATGATCAGCAAGCTACCATGTTCCTCAGCTTCCCCCCACTGTGATAAAATACCCAAGAGAAACATCTAAACACAGGGAGGTTTGCTTTTGCTCACTGATTGGAGGTTTCAGGTCATGGTCAGTTGGCCTACTGTTTTGGGCTCTGTGCCGAGGCTGCACACCTGGGGAGGAGGCCTGCTCTTCTCACCTAACTTTGGACCTGGGCCCTCTCTTGGCCTCTTCAGTCTTCAAGTGTTCAAGAACGTAGGGGGCCAAGGGGAGAAGTAGGCTCCAGCCTTCTTCCCACAGTCACCCAGGAGCCTGGGGGTGAGGGGTCTCAGTGCCCTCCCCTACACCTGCCTACACTGGGCTGAGGACAAAGAAGAAAAAAGCCCCACCACCACTGCTCTCTCAGTTGGATGAACCTAGTGCCACACGCATGCTAGACCGTGCTGTACATAAGACCTAACTCTGTAGCCTCAAGCATATGTCTTTGTCCTCTGTAAAGCAGGAGAGGCTGGAGTCTCCTCACAGTGAAGTTCTAAAAAATATGCCACCTCAAGACTCAGCAGGCTAGAGTCAGCAGAGGGCCAGCCTTCCAAACTGTACACCTAGCAATATCTGTCATTCTCACTCCTTGGCTCCCGTGGTTGGGTTTGCCTCAGGGCACACATCTGAAACCCCAGAAATTTCTGTGGAATTTAAATTGGTCCCTGAGTGAGCCCCTCTATCTTTCCTAACTGTCCACAAGGCAGACAAGTATTAATCAGGACCCAGATCCTTTTGGGGACAGACAAAAAGAGTGTAGGGCTGTCTGTAATAGGTTATCAGCAGATTTGACACATTTTCAGAGAGGGCCAGGTTCCTCCTGCATGGTGATACTCTATACCCCAAGAATAAATAGTTGATTGTCTGAAACCAGCCCCAGAACTTTTGAGCCAGTCCCTGATGGCTTCAGAGAAGGGGTGTTAAGGTTCTGGTAGACCTCAGAAGTGGCACTTAGACAGATGACCCGAGAAACTCGACTGCAACCAAGAATGGCTCAAGGCCAAAGCAGGGATTTCTTTTTTGCTTTCTTTCTTATTTTTTATTCCAATGTGTGTGTGTGCTTGTGCATGCACGCACGCATGTGCACATCTCACAACACACATGTAGAGGTCAAAGAACAATTTGCAGGAATCAGATCTCTCCTCCCTCCCTTTGGGTGCTGGAGACTAAACTCAGACTGTTAGGCTTGGTGGGCGGCACTTTTACCAGTTAGGCCATACCGAAGCGTACAAGCAGGGCTATCTTATTCTGTCTGGGCCATCTCTCATCTCTTCGATTCCCACAGAAACAGGTTGAAGCTTGTGGGGTCTGAAGTGAAAAAGTCTGGTCAGATCCTAGCCTTATGTTATTAATAACACAGTAAGGGCTGGGTGGTGGTGGTGCACACCTTTAACCCCAGCAGTCTGGAGGCAGAGAGGCTGGAGGCTCTTCGTGAGTTTGGTCTACAGATGGAGTTCCAGGACAGCCAGGGCTGCACAGAGAAACCCTGTCTTGGGACTGGAGAGATGTGTCAGTGCTTATAAGCACTGACTGCTCTTCCAGGGTACCTGGGTTCAATTCCTAATACCTGTCTATAACTCCAGCTCCTGACACTCATGGCAAAACACCAATGCACATTAAAAAAGAGAGAAAGGAAGGAAGGAGCAGATATGTTACTCTACCCCAGCACTCGGGGTGTGGGGCATCTGTGTTACTCTATGCTAGCACTGGGGATGTGGCGACAGGGGTGGAGGTTGGGGTGGGGGCAGATGCAGCAGAGGCATGTTTATTTTTCACAACACATTAAAATTTGTTTTCTAGAAATTCACGGAGAAGCACAACATACAACTATGTGATTAGTTCTCGACTTGGAAGAAACACATACAAAGAACAGTATGCCTTCTTCTATAAGTGAGTTTGATCCATCTGAATTGAACCCAAATATATATATTGTATTTTCCTTTAAACATAGATTCTGGCCGGTCAGTGGTGTTGGAAGGCAGAGAGGCAGGTGGATCTCTGTGAGTTCAAGGCCAGCCTGGTCTACAGAGCTAGTTCTAGGGCAGCTAGGGCTGTCACACAGAGAAATACTGTCTCAAAAAACAAAAATAAATAAATAGAATACAAATAGATTCTGGGCTTGGTACGGCAGGATAAACCTTTAACCCCAGTACTTGGAAAGCAGAGACAGGCACATTTCTGTGAATTGTTGAGCAGCCTGGTCTACATAGTTCCAGGCTACTGAGCTTTACAAGGTGAGACCCAGTCTCAAATAAAATGAAAACATTTGACTGTGGTCTCTAAACAGTTATCATTCTTGGTTAGAATCTTTGCTGTCAAACTCACGTGCTGGGGCTGTAGCTTAGTTGGTGGAATGCTCACTTGCCTAGAGTGTACAAAGCCTGGCTCCATCCCAGCACAGTGGCAGCGCAGGTCTTTCAACTCAATTGGAAGGGGGAGGTAAAAGGATCTGAACTTCAAGCAACACAGCCAGTTCAAAGTCAGCCTGAGCTACGTGAGATGAGACCCTGTCTCAAATCACCTAAAACCTCCACAAGAAAGCCATCCAATCATTAACTAGAAAGCACGAAGCTTTGTGACAACTAATGACTACCCAGGGCAGGAGTTCTTTTTCCTTCGTGGGGAGGTCCTGGCCCAGTGCATCTGAGCACAGAACAGAGGAATCTCACTGGCTCCCTCCTATCAGTTTGGATATTCACCTGATGTGCCCCAGACTGCAAGTATAACTCAGACTCTTAATGCACTGAGAAGAGCTGATTCTGTCTGTTCTTAGGGGAAAGACCCTTCCAAGCTCGAGCCTGCTCTAGAAGCTACTGAAGTCACAACTAAAGGACTCAGTGAGGAGAAATTCTCTCTCTCTCTCTCTTTCTCTCTTCTAGGGAAAAGCAGGTATCTGTGAAGGCAAACTACCTCTACCATGACCATGAGGACGGAGACATAGACGTATTTTCCAGGGAGCCCTTTGTGGTTTGGTTTCAGTCGCCCTTCACTGGTGAGAGCATGAGCCTGTATTAGTTACTCTTGAGGGTGCTATGACCAAACACCTGACATCACAGCTCGGAGGAGGAGAGATTCATTTATGTTTTAGAGGGCTCAGCTGGGGCTTTGTGGATTTGGAGGCTGTGGTGAGACAGAGCATCTTGTATGTCACAGGGCTTCTTCACCTCATGGTGGGCAGGTGTGAGAAAGGCACCGGAGCCCAGGGGTGACTTCCAAAGTCATTCCCCAGTGACCCGCTTCCTCTAGCAAAGCCCCATGTTTTAAAGTGTTCACAACTTCCCAAAACTGCTGCCAGCTGGGGACAGGCATTCAACACATGAACCTATGGGGGGCATTTCATATTTAAACCTTCTGGTGACCTCTCCAGCAGCTCATGAAGGGACATAGCCCTGAGCTTGTGTGAACCATGCTCTCAGAGTCATGCATTGTCTTATGGGATGATTGAGGTGGTGGCACGTGCCTATAATTTTAATCCTCAGGAGACAGAGAGAGAGGATTGGCAGTTCAGGGCCAGTCTGAGCTATATTGTGAGACCCTGTCTCACAATACCAAGGGTTGGAAGTGTAGTTCAGTTAAAGAGCTAGTGCCTACCATCACAAGGTTCTAGATCCAATCTTCTGCATTGAAAGAAAAGAAATAAAAAGAATCAGGAATTAAAATTGGTTTGTAGGTTGCAGCTTGTAAAGTCAAATGCTTTTCACTACCTACTATGTGCCCTGCTGAGGATCTAAGACTGACAAAGTCCCTGCCCTCAGGGTATCATATTGTAGCAGGAATACAGAGTGTGAATGCTTACTTGAACTATCGAATTAACTATTTCTGCACAGTGTTAATTAACTTAGAGAAGAGTACTTTGAGAAAATAACTGTAGAGAGGTGTGGGAGGGACTATTGAGTACAATAATCCTTTTATTCATTATTCAGATTCACTTGTGGCTGAGCAGGGAGAGCCTCCACCTCCAAGTACTTATTCTTGAAGACAGGCAAGGCTCTGTGCATTGCTAAACAGATCTACTTTTCCTGAGCCTCTACTGTCCAGCTTTTCCTACCCTTCCTCTCTCCCCTGTGACAGAAGTTTACCCTGTTGTATCAGGATAGAAAACAAATGAGTTATCAATTTCATTCGTTTCTCTAATTATTCATTCATGTATTCAATCAAGAAATGGTTGAGCACCTCTAGTGTATCTGGTGATATGCTAGGTAGTTCAGCCAAGAAGGTAAATTGCAAAGATAAGCCTGGCATCGTGGAGGTGTCCCCTGTGGGCAAAGCATAGAAGAAAAGAGAATGATTACAGAGGAGGGAGGAGTAATAAGCAGGACACATCAAATAGTGCAGAGGGACCTTAGAGTGGTGGCCACTCATGGCCATTAGAGGAAGACACGGTCTGTCACAATGCAGATGGGTAGAGAAAAGAAGGCACCTACAGCCAGTTTTTTCTCACAGTCCCCCCACTGTGGGGCTTGTGCAGTGGCCTCCATACTTTAGGCAAGAGTGGGAACCAGGCAGAGAATGAGGGACGCCCCAGAAGGAAAGCCTTAGCCCACAGCTCCTGCAGGTAGGAGAGCAAGGTGTGGTTCCAAGTCCACTCGGGAAAGCACACTCAAGAGCTCTTACTTCATTCTCTCTCTCTCTCTCTCTCTCTCTCTCTCTCTCTCTCTCTCTCTCTCTCTCTCTCTCTCTCTCTGTTGTTTTGGGGTTTTTCTATGTAGCCCAAGCTAACCCTGAATTTCCAATCTTCCTAATCTTCCTGCTTCCTGTTTTCTAGAGCTGGGATTTGAAAAATATGCCATCACACCCTGATCATCATCTTCTTTATTCTCACACACCCCAATCTGGCCTTGAACACTTGTCCCTTCAGTGTCCACCTCTGAGGGATGAAATTATTACAGGCCTATGCAACCATGCCTTATTTTATGAGATTCTTTGGATCTAATCCACGTGCAGGTGCCCAAGGAGGCCAGAAGTCTTAGATCCCCCAAGAACTGGAGTAATGGGCAGCTGTGAGCTACCCAACGTGGGTGCTGGAAAACAAACTCCACTGCTTTGCCAGAACAACACACGCTTTTAACCATGGAGCCATCTCTCCAGCACCTCCATCCTTTGTCATTTTGTTGAGACAGGGTGTCACCATATACAGGCTGGCCCTAAACTTACAGATACAACTTGCCCCCACCTCCCAAGTGCTGGCACTAAGGCTTTGCACCCCATACCCTGCTTTCTAACATTTCAGTTTAGTTTTTTGTCTGTTTTTGTTTTGTTGTTGTTGCTGCTGCTTTTCTTCTTGCTTGCAAAAGGACTATAAACTTGCCAGCTTCCATTTTTTTCATTTTCCCTTTAGTACAAAAGCCTTGATCAGAGGCCTGACTCCAGGTCTGCCCCCCACCCCACACCACACCACCCCACCCCACACCACCCCCCACCCTGAGAGTGCAGAGTGAGACAGTGGCGGTGCCACAGGAAGGAATTTGATTGTCAGTGTGGCTGGAAAGAAGGCAAGTGTCCTAGCCCTGTCTTTGAAGATCCTGGCAAGGCCTTGGAGGGGTAGAATTGGGCACTGGTCAATAGTCCTGGTCATAATGTCATGTGTAGTTCTGTTATTGGCTTCAGGTCCCCTGGAAGGCACTTGCTGCCTGGGATTACAGCCTAGGCTTGCTTGCTTTCTTTCTTTTTCTTTCTTTTCCTTCCTTCCTTCCTTCCTTCCTTCCTTCCTTCCTTCCTTCCTTCCTTCCTTCCTTTCTATGTCTGCAGGCCAGAAGCAGGCACCAGATCTCATTACAGATGGTTGTGAGCCACCATGTGGTTGTGGGAATTGAACTCAGGACCTCTGGAAGAACAATCAGTGCTCTTAACCTCTGTGCCATCTCTCCAGCCGGACAGCCTTGGTTTCTGTCAGGGCTTGGTCTGCCTGCAAGTTTCACTGTTTCTGGAGTGCTGAGAACATCTCTGTCTTCAGTCTTGGGGGATGAGAGATTTGCCAGCCTGTTGCCTCCTTAATGGTGAACGCGTGAGCAAAGAATCTGACCCCGAGTTTAAGATAGCAGAGGAGACAGATGCAAAACAAATGCAGAAAAGTCACATGCTCACCCTGCCTTCAGCCAGGCCGCACACATCTACAGCCCCAGAAGCTGGCTTCAAACAAAGAAGCCGATAAGCGCCTGTTACACGTAACCTTTGTCCATCTTTTCATCTTTGAGGCATTCTCTTGTAGCTGAGGCTGGCCTTGAACTCTTGGTCCTTCTGTCTCAGCTACCCAAGTTCTAGGTTACAGATGTGTGTCACCCCACCCAGCTGGATTTATTACTCTTAGAACGAATGACATAACCATAAAACATGAACAATTTTTAGTACTCCAGATAAACCAAGAGAAAAATGAAGGGTTTGAAAACAAAAGGGCAGGTGAAGATCCCCAGAACCCACACAGTAGAAGGGGAATCCAACTCTGCAAGGTGTTTTGTGTCACAGAAAGAGAAAGACAGAGACAGAGAGGGGGACAGAGAGAGAGAGGGACAGAGAGAGGGGGACAGAGAGAGAGGGACAGAGAGAGAGAGGGACAGAGAGAGAGAGGGAGAGAGAGGGACAGAGAGAGAGGGACAGAGAGAGGGACAGAGAGAGAGGGACAGAGAGAGGGGGGGACAGAGAGAGGGGGACAGAGAGAGGGGGACAGAGAGAGAGAGAGGGACAGAGAGAGAGGGGGACAGAGAGAGAGACAGAGAGAGGGGGACAGAGAGACAGAGAGAACCCAAAGTGCCAGGTGGGATCATGTTCACCAGCTTCCCTTTTAGCTGGTGGAGCACAGGTCGGAGAAAAGAGTCTTTATGTCCTGGAAACAAGTAGCCTGGTGACACTAAGCGCACTGAAATCTCAGCCGCTGTCTCCAGCCCTCCGTCATGCCCTCACACACAGCAGTGCCTCAGAAGGGCCTTCTTTAGGCAGTGCTAGTGGGTCCTTAATGGGAAAAGTGCCCCCTCCTATTTGTTATTCCTCAGCTGTCAAGGACTTCGTGATCGTCCCCTTGCATACAAGTCCCGAGACTTCCGTTAAAGAGATGGATGAGCTGGTTGATGTCTACATGGATGTGAAACGTCGATGGAAAGTGGAGGTGAGGACCATTGTGCTTCTCCCATTTCCATCAAGCGGCACCCAATCATTTGAATAGGAGGGTGAGGGATGGAGTACATACAAGCCACTGCTAATGCATAGCCTCATCTTAGGCTTTCCCCCAGCTCTAAGCATACTTCTTGCTAAAGCTGCCTGGGCCTGTCCCTGTGGGTCTTGGGAATTCATGCTCTGCTACATTTATAATGGACACCAATATTATTAACTGTTTGGTACTAAGGCCTATGCACTGTGCTGAGACTGACTGCCCATGAACCAAGTGAATTTAATTCTCTCAGTAATCCAACAAGGGGCTGGGGAGATGGCTCAGATGATAAAGTGCTTGCCCTTCAAGCATGGGGACCCGAGTTCAATCCCCAGAAACCATAAAACCAAACAACAGAGAGGGAGGGAGGGAGAGGAGAGGAGGAAGAGTCAGAAGAGCTGGGCATGCTGGTGAAAAATGCAGTGTGGAGGACAGAGGCAGGCAAATCTCTGGGACTCAATAGCTAGCTAGTTTATCTAGTTTAGCCTCCTTGGCAAATTCCAGGCCAGTGAGAGACCCAATCACATACAAAAGGAGGCAGCAGTACCAAAGGACAGCACCCAGGGTATACTTTGGCCCCTACAAACATGCACAGGTGTACCTGCACGGTGCACACCCACCACACACACTAAGCAATCCCACAAGCACACACACATGTATACCTGCACTGTGCACACTCACCACACACTATAAATAATCCCACAAGCACACACGTATGGGGACCTGCACAGTGTACACCAGCTACACAAGTTGCTAATCAATTCCAATTTATAACCGAGAACAATGAGGCATTGAAGATCAGGAGTGTTCCAGAGGCAAGTGGCAAGATCATGAAAAGAAGAAGCAATTATGGTGTTCATGCCTCAAGGCAGCCATCATCTCTCATTTGAAGATAGGGAAGCTGCCATCTGTGGCTCTTCAGGTTTGAGAAAGCACCCAGTAAATGTGGAAGTGTTCAGAGGGCTCTCCTACCAAATTTCTCTTTTTTTCCTTTCGGAATGTGTTGCTGAGAGTCCCTCTTTCTCCTCAGTTCCCCACCTCAAGGTGCAAAATGACACAGATGGTCAGCATTGGCCATCAAGAAGGTCAGGGGTGCATTTCATGACTTATTTGTAAGTTCCAAGATAAATGATCAAATCCACACATTCGGCAAGAATATATTGAGTATCTTGGGAGGAAACCTTGGATGATGGATCTTCAGGAGGACAGAATGAGGTTTGCCCCTGGGCTATATTGCTTAAGCTTCCCAATTGTGACGTAGATCAGTCCACTTGATCCCCCTTACCTGTTTCTACTGTGGTTAATGGTGCTTTCAAGCCATTCGAATTGAGCTTGGTAAATCACCTCATGCTGGATGGGCACATAGGTTAGGGATAGCATTCTGTCTTTTTAACTATGCACCTTAATCTCAAGGGAAACCCTAATTCCAGAGATCAAAATGAAATGTCCTTAAGGAAAACTCTCAAGTCAGCAATCATTCCAAACAATAGCACAAACAAGGAAATGAAATGTTTCCTCTGTATTGCACACTGTTAAAATTATTTTCCCACAGCCTTGGGGGGCGGTGGGAGGACACCTCCAAATCTTGGTGGAAGAGGGTGGAGAAAGGCAGGTCACTCTTTAGGAATTCCCCTCTCTAAGGATTGAATTTTGATAGGAAGTAGTTTCAGACCTCAATACATACAATAGGAGACAGAGAGCTAGTAAAGCAGCCATTACCACCAATTAGTTTTTGTTATGATTTGTAGCTGAGGGGTACCTTGGAGGGTCCAATGGTGGGCGAGAGACAAATGGACGATCAGGCAGAACTTATGTGGGAAGGTAAGGGACAGGGGGAACAGAGAAGAAAGAATGAGAGAGAAAGACAGAAAGACAGAGAGAGAGGAAAGAGAGACAGAGAGACCTGCCTCATCAGAAATGGCAGAAAGAGCAAGAAAGTAGGTGGAGCTTGTCTCTTAAAGAGACCTTTTGTGCCTGTGTGCAAGAGCCAGGGGTGACTCTGCCAGATCCCCAAGGGGTGGGTCCAGGTTTGCCTGGATGCTAACAGTTTTGACTCTTGGGAACTGGGGTGTTTATTCATTCACAATTGCTGCAGTATTTATGTGAGGGAATATCTTAGTTGGATTCCAGGGTTCTTGCCTACATGTGCACATGTAGGTTACAGAGATAGGGTGACTAAGAACAGAATGGTGAGGTGGGGCCAGCATCTTCTCTCCCACTCCTTGTTCTCACTGCCAGATCCTTGTCAAAACTCTGACTCACTTGGAACCTGTTTTCTCTTGTCTTAAAAAGAAACAAAGATGGAAACTCTGTGAGTTTGCTAGTGACCAGACCCAGCTTCTTGAAGCAACTCTGGGCTGTTTCTCACTGCTCTGGAGGCTGCAGAGCTAAGGCCAGTGTGTGGGAGCTGGGTTGTTCCTTCTGGGACCTCTGTCCTCAGTATATGCTCATCTCCCGATGACTCTGCATTGTCTTTCTGTGTTCAAATCCCCATTTCACTCATTTAAATTCATTCATTTATTATTGTCATGCTGGGGCTCAAAGCCAGGACCATTGAGCAAATTCCTAGTCCTGCCCCTGTAATAAGGGATCACCCACCTGGCCTTGTTTTTTTTTTTTTTTTTAACCTTAATTACATTTTTAAAGTCTCATTCTCCAGTTGGATGTGGTATGCACAGAGATCAAGAGGTGGATACAAGAGATTCAGGGATCCAAGGCCATCCTGGGCTACCTAGCTAGTTTGAGGCCAGCCTAGGTTACATGAAACTTCATTTGTAGTCACATTCTAGTGTACTGGGGCCAAGAGTTAAAATCAGGATGGGTGAGGTCAGTGAAATGAATGGCTCAGTGTGTTAAAGAATTTGCTGTGCAAGCTTGATGGCCCAAGTTACATCCTTGAAATCCACAGGAGAACAAGAGAACAAACTCCTGCAAGTTGTCCTCTAACCTAGACACATACACATACACACACAGTAATAATAATAATAATAAATTTAAAACAAATAAATAAAATATATAGGGAGGGGTCCAATCCAGATCATGAAAGACCTCTTTGTAGCTCGGTGGTAGTGGCTCATGCCTTTAATTCTAGAACTTGGGAGGCAGAGGCAGGCAGATTTCTGAGTCCAAGACCAGCCTGGTGGTCTACAGAGAGAGAGTTCCAGGACACAGGAACTACACAGGACTACACAGAGAAACCCTGTCTCGAAACCCCAATAATACAAAACAAACAAACAAAAAAGACCTCTTTGTTCACTGGGCATGGGAGGTGGGATCCTTGCCAGTGGTTGAGAATGAAGGCGTGTGATCCAGTGCTTGCTAAGTGATGGTTCATTCTAATATATGCCTTTCAGAATTTCATCTTCATGGGTGATTTCAATGCTGGTTGCAGTTATGTCCCCAAGAATGCCTGGAAGAACATCCGTTTGAGGATGGATCCCCACTTCGTTTGGCTGATTGAGGACGAAGAGGACACCACAGTCAAGAAAAGCACCAGATGTGCCTATGACAGGTAGGAGCAGTCTGCAGAGGCTGCTGGCTCCAACTGTACCAGGGCAGCCCGACCCCTTCCGCTGAAGAATGAGTCAGTTCCATTTCAGGACTGCTACTAAAATTTCTCCCCTGGGGGAGATATAAGCAAGGCCCCCTGAAGTCCCAATAAAGTTCCCACTAGGGAACTCGTGAGTTTGTTGGGATTATAGGTCTTACTCAGCAGAGATACTGACTTTTCCATAGCTGCATAGATGAAGCCTGGATCCCCTAATCTTGCTAGGCTAGTATATTCTCTCTTCCCTGAGGCCATGGGCAGTTGGGGATGAGTTGCATACAGCAAATGGTGAGGAGGGCCTGGATTCACAGGAAAGAGTCTTGTGACCCTCCCTACTCTTCTACATGAGGATGTAAGCAGTCAGTAAACCCAGCTGGGATGATCAAATGGGCACAGCTGACTGCCCTTGGTGGTGGTGGTTTGGCTTGGAGGGTAGCACTGCACTAAGATCCTCTGGTTCCCTATGCAGTGAATGGGACTTACAGGTGCTTAGCAGTGGCCTGCATTGACTTTGTGCCAGATGGGCCTGAATTCAAGTCCTTACTCTACCACTTCATGTGTTGTGACTGAGGCGTATACTCTGCTTGATTTTCTCACTTGTAAGCTGCAGATTTGAGTATTACTAGTACCTTAGGCCACGGTTGGTGGTGTATGCCTTTAATCCCAAGACTCAGGAGGCAGGAGCTGGTGGATCTCTGAGTTTGAAGCCAGCTTGATCTACAGAGCTACTTACAGTACAGCCAGGACTTTTACACAGAGAAACCCTGTCTCAAAACAAAACAAAACAAAAACCAGTACCTCAGTTGTGGAGATATAATGAGGATTAAATAAAATACCACATATAAAACTTTTAACACAGTGCTTGGCACATGACAAGTGCTAAGTACATTTGTGTGTTCTTAGGTGACACCTAGAGCATCCAGGTAGGTATGACCACATATAATGCTTGTGCTATCACCGATTTTATCCCAAACATATACCACAGTTGGTCACCCCACCACGATCACTGGCCACTCAGTTGTTACTAAGGCCTTGCTGTTATGAACTCTGCTGAAATAGACAGCATATTTTGAGCATATGTTTATGATCCTCAGGTGCTATTTGATAAACCAAAGTTGCAGGAGGTGTCTCAGCAGGTAAAGGCACTTGCCTTACAAGCATGGTGAATTGAGTTTGGTTCCAAGAACACATGTACAGGTTGGAAGGAGAGATCCAACTCTACACAGCTGTCTTCTGATCTCATGTTTGCAGTACCATGCTCCCTAGTAAATAAATAATTTTAATTTAAAATGAGAGTATTTAATGCAACATATTTATACTTTGACTTGATTTTTTTTCAGACAGGCCTTCTCTGTGTAACAGCCCTGGCTGTCCTAGAACTTGCTCTGTAGACCAGGCTGGCCTTAAACTCAGAGAGATCCACCTACCCTTGTCTCCTGAGAGCTGGGATTAAAGGCATTTGCCACCACCACCCAGATTTTGGTTTGATTATTGAGACAGGATCTTATTATATAGCCCAGGTTGGCTTCAGGCTCATTATTCAGCCTAGGATGATATTGACCTCTTTTCCTTCCTCAGCTTCCTGAGTGCATAAGCTACCACACCTGAATTGAATACTTTTTAAACTATTGCTGAACATAAATGCAGATACGTGTATTTAAATAATGACAATCATTGTACATTTAAACTTACCCCGGAGCTTTTTCTTTTTAATTTGTTTCTATTTTATGTGCATTGGTGTTTTGCCTGTGCATTGGTCTGTGAGAGGGTGTCAGATAGTTGTGAGCTGTCATGTGGGTCCTGGGAATTGAACTCGGGTCCTCTGGAAGAGAAGTCAGTGCTCTTAACTGCTGAGTCATCCTCCAGTCCCCTCCCTGTGATTTTTTTTTTCAAGTTCTTTTCTGTTCTTTTAGTGAGGAGGGAAGTGTGGGTGCCCGAAGTGTGTGAAAACCAGGGACTATCCACAGCAGAAACCACCTACAAATGGGGACCGCTCAGTCCCACGGTGCCTGCTGTTCCCATGCTCAGCTGAGGAGGGAGCACAAAAAGGCCATCAGCCTGGTGTACTCACTTCTTAGGCCTTGAGGTTTGGCTTATGTACCCGTCTGTGGTCGCCTTTGTTTCTCTTGGGACTTCTGAGACTGCAGCTTCCTTTCTGGCTGCGCTGTTCAGCCCTCAAAAGTGGAAGCCCAGGGTGAGAAGTTACAGCCTCTCAAACATCCAGGCCTCTCTTCCCATTTTCAGCTGCCTTCAGCAAGCTGGGAAGATGGCTCCAGCTTACTCAGCCATGCCAGCTGTAGGACCATCAGCAGCTCAAACCCAGAAACCAAACTGCCACTCAGAATCGGAAAAGCTCAGGGCAGAGCATGGAAGGCAGGGCACTAAGACCACATACATATGACCTTGTCATATGTTAGAGGCTACTTCTTTTTCTTAATATTGCAAGTGTGTGGTGTGTGTGTGTGTGGTATGAGTGTGGTGTGTGTATGTATGTGTGTGTGTTGTATGTGGTGTGTGTGTGTATGTGATATGTGGTGTGTATGTATGTGTGTGTGGTGTGTGGTATGTATATGTGGTATGTATGTGTGTTGTGTGTGTATGTGGTATGTATGTGTGTATTGTGTGTGTTTGTGTTGTTTGTGTGTATGTGTGGTGTGTGTGTATGTGTGTGTAGTGTGTATGTGTGTATGGTGTGTGTGTGGTGTAGTGTGTGTAGTGTGTGTGTGTGTTTGTGTGTGTGTGTGTGTGTGTGTTGAATGCAAGTGAGTAGGCAGGTGCATGTGTCTGGAAGTCAGAGTACTGTGACTGTCTTATTGCCTTGAGACAGGGTTTCTTATTGAATTGGAGGCTTACTCTTTTGGTTAGGCTGGCAGTGGGGAATCTGCCTCTGCTCCAGTGTTAGGGATACAGGCAGGCACAGGCATGCCTGGCTTCTTATGTGGGGGCTGAGAGTCAAACCAATGTTTTCATGTTTTAGACCAAGTCCCTCTTATCCATTGAGCTATCGCCCCAGTCCTTAAATCTGTTTATAAACCTCATTTGACTACCACATTTTCATTCGGTGTCATAGCTGCAAACTATCTGTCCTGGCATCCCCCCCCCCCCATCTGTACTTTTCTTTCAATCCATTAATTTCTCATTAAAATAAATAAGCTCGTTTTAAAGGAAATACCATGATACTGTGAAAAGAAAGAATATAGTATCACTTGCTATTGATCGAACAAAAGCACAGGAGAAAGTGGTCATTCTAGAGAATGCTTTGAAGTGGCAGTTTGCTCTCCTCTTGTTAAAATGAAGAATTAGGAAGATGTCCAAGACAAGCTAGCACCTATCTGAGGTTTTTGCCAAAAACCAATCCGAACTAAGTGAAAAGGGACTGAGAGGAGCAACTTTCTCCTACTGCAAACCATATGTGAAATGTGCTCTTATACCATCTGCATCAGCCATGCTGGGGCTGCAGCCCTGTAATCACAGGCCTGCTTTGCAGGCGCCATCCTCTAGGGGAGTTTCTGGTTTGCTTTTCTGTTGCTGTGATAAACATTGTAACAAAAAGGAATTTGCAGAGGAAAGGTTTTGTTGTTGTTTTGTTTTAATTATTGTGTGTGTGTGTGTGTCAGAGAGAGAGAGAGAGAGAGAGAGAGAGAGAGAGAGAGAGAGAGAGAGAGAGAGAGAGAGTTGGTGAGTGCAAGTGAGTATGCAAGTGCGTGCACCAGGAGATCAGAGATCTGTGTCTGTCTTATTGCCTTGAGATAGGGTTTCTTACTGAATTTGCTTTGTTTTCTTTATCTTAGCTTACTGATTATAGTCTATTATCAAAGGAAGCCAAGCCTGGAACTTGAAGCAGAGACAATGAAGGGATGCTGCTGACTGGCCTGAACTCTCTAGTTACTTAGCTACTTTTCTGTTCTACAATATATTCTGATTTTGGTTTCTTCTACCCCTACGCCCCCTACGCCTCTCAATCTCTCCTTACCTCCCCTCCTGTCCAAAAAAGTAAATAGGATTCTAAGGAACAATAATAAAATACAGTAAGATAAAACAAAAATAAACAAATCAGAATAGGTCAAAGCAACCAAACCAAAAAAAAAAAAAAAAAAAAAGAGTCAAAGCACAAGAAACATACATAGATTCAGGGACACGTGTGTCCAAATACATAGGAATCCCATAAAACTCCCAAACCATGCATACATACATACATCATACCATACAAAGGAGCTATAAGATAGAAGGGAAAATGTCCTGACTTAATATTATGACACAAAAACTCTCCAAAGATGACATTGAGTTTGTTTTGTGTTGACATCTACTGCTGGGCATGGGGCCTCCCTTAAGAGCTGCTTGTTTCCTCAGTGAGACCACTTGGAGAAAACTAAATTTCCATTTGCAAGTGGCTCTCAATTGGAGATAGCTTCTAGGTCAAGGATTAGGGCACATTAACACATCTCCTTTCAGCCCTAGGACCCCATCTGGTACAGAGCCATTGTGCATGCTGCTAGTCTCTGAGTTCATATGTGTGATAGCCCTATTGTATCTAGAAAGCCATGACTCCTTGCTATCCTTCATGTCCTTTGGCTCTTACACTCTTCCAGCTTCCTTTTCTGCAGAGTTCCCTGAGCCCCGAGAGGAAGGATTTGATGGAGACTTCCTTTTTAGGGATTTTCCAAGGCCTCTTGCTCTCTGCAGAATGTGGGTCCCATCTGCTATAAGAGGAAGCTTCTCTGGTGATGCCTGAGCAAGGCACAGATCTACGAGTATAGGGGAATGTCATTAGGAGTCATTTCATTGCTATGTCCCTTTAGCAGAACAGTCGTATTTGGCTTTTCCCTAGGTTCTTGGCCTATCTGGTCTCAGGTTCTTGGTGACCAAGGCAGTTTTGGGTAAAGGGCCTTAACTCAAATATGACAAAGCTCCCATAAGCTTTGTACCAATATTGTGCCAGCATGTCTTGCACTTGTAGATCGAAAGTTTGTAGCTGGGTTGGCGTCTATCTTTGTCCTTTGGTAGCATGCGGCGTTCTTTCTAGTATTTAGTATTCAGCTCTACATTAATCTGTAGAGGTGAAGGCTCTAGGTAGCACCAGCTTCACTTTCCTGTGTTCAGTGAGTTGTGTAGGTATTGTCTTCAGTGATAAGGCCTTACTGTTGATTTGTGGAGAGCCTTGACAATAGCCTGGGTTGTTTGGGGGTTCCCATGGCTAACAGCTTGATTGGGGGTAACCCATTGGTAGAAAGAGCTATCTAGTTGGGTCTCCCTCTCCCCTATTATTTGTCAAGTTCATTTAGCACCTTCATACATGTGTATATTTTAGGAAGCTTCTACTGTATTAGGTTTCATAAGACCCCTCAAATGGAGCCTAGTTTTAGCTGTCTGTCCCTGCATTCCCTCCCTTTTCCCTCTCTTCCTTTCTCCTTCCCTTTCATCTCAGAAGTCCACAGCTTGGAGTAAATAATGCATCTGCCTTCCTTGTCCTTACTCTAGGATTGTGCTCCGAGGACAAGAGATAGTTAACTCAGTGGTTCCACGTTCAAATGGCATCTTTAACTTCCAGAAAGCTTATTCGTTATCTGAAGAGGGGGTAAGATTACCACTTTGCCTTTCTAACTCACATGCCCAGAAATGTGGGAGGGCTGCTCTTGAGTTCTAAGATCTACAATTCTGTGATTTGAAGACCTGTCAAAATTCCCCAGAAGCAGGACCAAGAGAAATGCTCATCAGTTCCACCTGATGACCTCAGACATTTCATCTTCCCTCTGTACCTGTGTCATTGCTAAAGCCACAGTATGTCCCAGGCATCCCCTAACCTCCAAATCTACTTCTGTTTCCCCATATAGGCCCTGGATGTCAGTGACCACTTTCCAGTCGAGTTTAAGCTCCAGTCTTCAAGGGCCTTCACCAACAACAGAAAATCTGTTGCTCTAAAGAAGAGAAAAGGAGGCAATCGCTCCTAAGTACCATGGTGCCATTTTATTAAAGCCACTACTTGCTTCCAAATAAAATGGCTCTCGGAGGTCTAAACTATCTGAACACTCGGGAATTAAGAATGGCTCAGCTGATTTTAGTATCTACTTGAGTTCATTCCACCTGGAGACAAGTTGAGAGAAAAGTCTTCTGTTATACCTCTTTGACCCCAATCCATCACTGGGACTTGTTACTAGTTAGATAACAGGACAAATGTCAGATGCCGGTCCTAGCTGCCAGTGCTCACAAGGGACTCCTGTTTCCCAGAAATGAGTAGAAATGCCAAGACTCAAGTCATATCTCGTGATGTGGGCAATCAGACTCTGTCTGCCTCATCCTGTTGGGGTCAGGCAACTGTAATCTATCAGGGATGTGGAATGAGGGCCACTCCTACTGTGGGGTTCTACCCCCATTGTCCTAACTAAATCAGCCTAGGAACCTACAGCGTCATTCATTATTTTCAAGTAAGAACACAGCCCTGCCCTACTCATATCCCACCTCCACCCCACCCCATCCCTACCTACATCCCACCCCACCCCACAATCCACCCTTACACACAGCACACCCCTAACCAGAGTTCACTTCTAACCACAGCACACTTCTATCCACAGCCCACTCCTACCCATCCACTCCTATACACAGCACAACCCTACCCATAACCCATCCCTACCTACAATCCACCCCTACCCACAAGCCATCACCATGTCCTGAGCTCAGTCTTTGGACACCATGAAGGTTTCCATTAACTGACAGCCAGCCTCACCTTGCACTGCATGCTCCAACAGGATCTTCTCTTCCTACCCCTTTCTCCCTTCCCTCCTTCCCCTAGTTTCCTGAAGAGTCTCCACCTTGCATTCCCTGTCCTCTCCCAAGTGTCCTCTGTGTCATATCCCATGCCTCCCTCAAAATATTCGCCACACTGTATTTTTCACCAGAGCCATCATTGGAACTCATTGAAAGTCCAGGAATGCCAAAGCCCCATTGGCTGACTTGGACTTGAAGCATTGTTCTCTTCCTGACACCCAGGAATCCAGCAATGTGGCACCATTTTACTGTGTGTGTGTGTGTGTGTGTGTGTGTGTGTGTGTGTGTGTGTGTTCGTGTCCTGGTTAAAAAAAAAATCACCTCTTTCTTCAGCTTTGTACAAAAATGTTTGGAGCTTGAGTATCAGAGATCCAAGAAGTCAATTTTTCATGCTGATGTGCAGGTTCTAGATGTCCAGAGTTTCTCTCAAGAAATGTGAGCCATGGCCTGCCTATCTATCTATCTGTCTGTCTATCTATCATCTACCTATCCATCATCTATTATCTATCATCCATGCATCCATCATCTATCTATTCATTCATATATCATCTATTCATCCATCTAATCAATTATATATCATCTATCATTCATATATCTTACATCTATCTATCTAATCATCTATCATCTGTCATCTACAGTTTTTTTTTTTTTTTTTTGAGACAGAGTCTCACATATCAGGCTTGTCTCAAGCTTGCTTTTTAGTTGTAGATGATGGTGAAGTCCTTATCTTCCTGCCTCTAGCTCTTACATCTCTAGCTCTTACATGCTGGAGCTTTGTCTCGTGTGGTTTGAATGAGAAATGTCTTAATCATAGATTTAGCCATTTGAACACTTGTTCCCCAGCTAGTGGCCGCAGTCTGGGGTGGCTTAGAAGGTGTGGCTTTGCTGGAGGACATACATTACTGGGGGTGCCTTTTGAAAGTACATAGACTTCTAATTCTTTCTCTTTGCTTCATGCTTGTTGTAGAGCAGGCTTTGGGGACTCTTTTTTTTTTTTTTAAGATTTATTTATTTATTTTATGTAAATGAGTACTCTATCTGCATGCACAACTTTATACCAGAAGAGGACATCAGATTCCATTAGAGATGGTTGTGAGCCACCATGTGGTTGCTGGGAATTGAACTCTGGACCCCTGGAAGAGCAGTCGGTGCTTTTAACCACTGAGCCATCCCCTTTGGGGACTCTGTTGCTCAAGATTTGCTCAGTGTGACATGCAGACCACTTCCTGTTGCCTCAGAGATGGAGGACTCTCAGCTCCTTCTCCAGCACCATGTCTGCCTGCACGCTGCCTTTCTCCCCACTAAGGTGACGATGGACGGAACCTCTAAGCTGTAAGTCACCATCTCAATTAAATGTTTTCCTTCCTCAGAGTTTCAGTGGTCATGGTGTCCCTTTGTAGCAACAGAAACCCTAAGATACCCGATTACCCACATTGTGGGTATATCTGCGTGTATGTGTATTCTTGTGTGTGCAAATATATGTAGAGGCCAGAAGTCAACCTTAGGTGTTATTCCTCAGGGTCTTTCACTAGCCTAGAATTTATCCAGTAGTCTAGGCTGGCTGGCAAGTGAACCCCCAGACGCATTTTGGCAAGTGAGCCTCAAGAAAAAGGGGTGCCATTACTTCCAGTCCTTGTAATAACACCTTCCTCTTCCACAGCCATTTCCTGCCTCAGATACAGTGGCCTTCTCTGTGTTCCTTCTGGAAGTGGGGCATGATGAGGCTTCTCCCACACAGAGACCCTCACTCAGATCTCTTCTTTGGGTTGAGGAAGGCAAGTATAATGGGCAGCTGCCAGGGGCTGGGGAGAAGATTCCATTGTAAAGTGCTTCGGGTGTAAGCATGAGTATCTGAGTTCAAATCCCCAGAACCCATGTAAGAAGCTGGGCATGGTGACATGTGCCTGTGATTCCAGTGCAGGGTTTGTTGGCTAGGTACCCTTGCTGCATTGGTGAGCTCCAGGTTAGTGAGAGAGCCCGTCTCAAAAAAAGGAGGTATAATAATGAGGAGCATACCCAACATAGTTCTCTAGCCTGTACATACACACCAGTGCATGTATGAGCGCGCACATGTGCACACACGCACGCACACACACACACACGCACACACACACACACACACACACACACACACACACACACACACTTGCCAAATTATCCTTGTCCCTCCCAAAATAAGGAAAAGGAAAGGAACCCAACAGGTCACAGTGTGTGGGAAACATTGAGTTTTCTATGTCAGGGTTAGTTAACTAGGACACGACTTCCTACTTTTCTTTCTGAGAAAATGTTCCATGTATCTCAGATTGGCCTCAAACTTGGCTATGTAGCTGAGGATGACTTTGAACATCTGATCCTCCTGCCTCTACCTTCCCACCTCTGAGTGTTGGCATTACATATGCTGACCACTCTGTAAGATTTTATGCAGTGCTGGAGGCCAAACCTAGTGCTTCATGTAGACTAGACAAACACTCTACTTGTTGAGGTACATCTTCAGCCCCTGGGTGGGCTGTGCCCTAAAAAGGTGTTGCCTGGGCAGGAGGGATGGCTCAGAAGGTAAAGACATTTGTTTCAAACCTGGCAATTTGAATTCATCTCTAGGACAGACATGATGGAAGGAAAGAACCAACTCCTGCAAGTTGTCCTCTGACTTCTACATGTGAACATGCTTTCCATAAAGAAATATAAAAATTAGAATGTCAGTGTAAAAAGTTGTAGCCTCTGCTATCTCATGGAATTTCAACCACAAGGTGAAGAGGTGGTGTATGATGCTATCCACATTCTATAGTTGAGAAGTCAAACAACTTCCCCAAGGTCAAGAGAATATAGAGACCAGCTCTTACACATTTACTATGCATGGGTAGGCACAGCTTCTGGGGATGGGTTGGGGAACTCAATAATTTTAGTGGTTACAGAAATGATACATTTTTAGTTGAAGAAAAGTTTAATATATAATGTTAATGTTTTTGTAAACAACATAGATTAAAAATACAAATTTTCACCTGTTTTTGATAGAGGGACGGACTTAGGAATGAAGCAAAAGGGCCCAGGAGAGTCCTAACAGGACTCTTACTTGCCTTGCTAGCTGAGCCAAAAATCAGACCCAGGTCTGTTTGCCTCCAAAGGTCATGGTCCCCTGAGCATCCTGTACCACAGGCCTGGAAACCCAAGTTCAGGCTCAAAGGGGGGGGGGGGGGGAAGAGACTGTGCATACCAGCATACATGGTCTTCTATCGCCACCTGGTGGCTTTTATGGAAACTTTGGTTTAGTCACAAAGGAATTTAGGATGATGACCTAGGAAGCAGCCAGTGCTCTTTTTAATCTAGACTTCCTTGGGGCACAAGCTAGGGAGCCCCCCTCTAGGCTGTTACGGAAACTTGCACATCTTGCCCTGCTCGTATACGCACTCACTTTTCATCATTGAAAACCCTGAGTTCTATCAGTTCAGGGTTAGACTTGTCCAGTACAAGCATGCTGTGAGCCAATAAACAATTCGAAATCATCCAACAACCGTATTTTCAAAATATAAAAGTAAACAAAATAACATTTTATAAATGTAAACCCGAGGATCAGTGAGTGGGCGTCAAGTCTAGCCCATCTGCCTCTGGTTTGGTCTTTGCTGTTTTATAGGATCACCGCCACACCCAGGGCTTTTGGATGCTCCCTGGCTGCCTTTGCCTTACAGCAGTACAGTTGAACATCCGTGTGGGTGGGGCCAGATGGCTCACAAGCCTGAGAACATTCACTGTAGGCCTTCACAGGAAAACTGATTCCAACAGTCTATCATATCAATCTTAGAATTACTGGTGGGCTTGTTCAAAACACACATACATGTACGTGCACGCGCGCACGCGCGCGCGCACACACACACACACACACACACACACACACACGGAGGTACCTTTTATACTCAGAGAATATATCAATGTGCATAAGGCATTTAAAGTGCTCAGCGACACATGCGGCTCATGAATACCAAATTGGAGATGAAGGCTTAGAAAAACTGCCTGCAAATTCCATATGGGTGTTTATTAAGTACATAAATAGCCTGTCTGCCTTTCTCTCCTCCCTTCCCACTATCCCCCTTTTCTTTGTGTGTTTTTGAATGAATGTATGTGTGCGTGTGCGAATGGATCTGCACGCCCAGAGCCAAAAGAGGTGAGAGTGGCATCCTGTTTCCCTGAGGCAGGCTCTCTCTGAACTTAACCACAGTGATCCTCCTGACTGTGCTGCTGGGGCTCCTGCTATGTGTAGGATGTTCCGTAAGTGCAGGAATCTAAACTCCAGTTCACATGATCACACCGCAAGCATTCTTAACTGCTGAGCCATTTCTCCAGCCTCCTTCCAACCTTTCTTTTTTCATTTTGACACAGGGTCTCATGTATAGTAGGTGGCCCTGGGTTTGCTATGGAAACAAGGAGGGTGACTCTGGACTTCTGATGCTTCTGTTTCCACATCTAAGAGCTGGGATTATAGACCTATGTCACCAAGCCTCCTATATGTAGTTGAACCCAGGACTTGGTGCATGCCACATAATCACTCTACTCTCTGAACTACATGTCCATTCCCCAGTTCTTTTGGGCTTGTTTTCTAGGGAGAAAGCATTAAAATATGGGACAGCTGCTGTTTATAATGAATCTAGTTTCAAGCCACACCTTTAGCTTGGTGCTAGCTATATAACACTGCCCCCAGGGTAACTGAGGAAACCTCCCCTCAGATGGTCATTTAGTAGGGCCTAGTGGATATACAGAATGCTCAAGAGAGCCTGTCCTATTCTGAGCAACCTGTGTACTTTCTGCTAGAGACAATCACAATTCATCACACACATGGGTAGAGCCAGGCACTATGGCAAAAGCTTGTTAAGTGTGACATTGTTTAATGGCAGACTACCAGTGGCCTGTTGCAGGGAGCTTTCTCTGTGTTCCAAGGCTATCTACTTTTATCATGACAGCCCTTTTCACTCCATCTGTGAGTTCCAAGGAGCCTAGCCGAAGCCTTGTGCTTTCAATCCAATGGCCCCAGAAAACCCAGTGAGTTTGAGTAAATTCAGTAGGTGTTTGTCCAGCAACTCTATCATAACAGGCTGCTGTGTGAGTTCCAAGAAAGCATATTTATAGCCAGGCGGTCATGGCACATGCCTTTAACCCCAGCACTCAGGAGGCAGAAGCAGATCTCTGAGTTCGAGACCACCTGGTCTACAAGAGCTAGTTTCAGGACAGCCTCCAGAGCCACAGAGAAACCCTGTCTCAAAAACAAACAAACAAACAAGAAAGAAAAAAGAAAGCATATTTATTTCCACAGTGGTTCTTGGTCATACTCTGTCTTTTGCTCCCTCTCTCTCCCTCAAGATTATTGTCAAAGTTGATTAGGGAAAACCAGGTAAGTTAGTTGCATTCAATAGTTTAAATGGCCTAGTTGTCTGTGAGATTTCAGGATAACAAGCAAACTAGTAAAGGCCTGGAGAATTCCTCTAAAGGCGGCTCTTGAGAGACTTGTTTGTCCAGTTCACTTTCTGTTCAGACTGAGGGACTGCCCTTTTAACTAGAATGGAGAGCACCACAATGCCCCAAGTTAAGGCAAACCTGTGAACATTTTGGTTTTGCAAAGAGCTATGTGCAGGTTTGTGCTCCCTACATATGGATGTCTCCGTAGCAATGAGGCAGTGTAAACAGCAGCACCCGATGGGACTCCATGAACTACTATTTCCATGTCTGTGATTGTGCTTGGGAATACTTTCCAAACAAAAAGAGGAAGATCCATCAAGATGGCTCTAACAATGGACCCAGTAAAGACTGGCTGTCAAAGGACAGGGGTGGTAGGCTGAACTATGAGTATGTTGACCTCACTGATTTGGAAACAGTAAGTGAAGTAGGTGTGGGCCCTAGTCCAACAGTCTGATGTCCTTATACAATACGTGTATGAAGACAGGCCAGGTTGACCTGTGTGACACTGAAGGTGGTTTAAAGCAATGCTGTCACAAGCAAAAAGCACAAGCCTGCTCTCAAGTCAGGAGAGGCATGAAGGAGGCAAGAAGGGGCCCCTCTGCCAGATCCAAAGGGGTGTGGCTTTGTGGGTCCCTTGATCTCGACCTCCAGCCTCTCGAGTGGGGATACGGTAAATTTCTGTTTGTTGAGGTCTCCTAGATTTTCATAGCTTAGGAAAACTACTCGTGATGGCACGAGGAGTTTTAGATTGCGGCTGTGTCTCCAGGACAACCTCAAGGACACGTCAGTTATGAAAGAGATGTGCTAGATGTTATTTCTTCCTGGGTTCATGATGATAGGACACAATCCAGCTGTCAACCACCTAGATGTCACAGGATTTGGCCTCACTAATAGAATGTAAACATCAGGACTGTAAACATCAGGCCAAGGTCAAGGTGGTTAAGAATGCGTTTGCTGCCGGCTTAGCAACTCATGGCTCTGGAAGCCGTGGGAAGTTCACACAAGAGTTCCTGGTCAGCTCTACACGAACCCTTATCTCAGAAAAATCAAGTGAACGGAACTCCCACGTGGTCCCAGTGTCTCCACATTCCCTATCTGTCTTCCCTTTCCTTGAACACAGAGACAGAGGACTCTAATAAGAGCTCTGAGGTCTGCATCCTTGACAGTCACCAGATGAGGGCAGTGTCTCCGCTAGATGAGTACCTAGGAAGTTGTTCCCTCTGCATTAGATGGCACTCTGGAGGGACAGATACATCTTCAATGAGTGGTGTTGGGGTGAATTAAAAAAGGAATCTATCTTTATTGTTTAAACAGTTGAGACTTAGGGCTGCTTGTTGCAGCATGTGAGGTGGGCCATCTCTGATGCAGGGGCAAGGGAAGGAGCCAGAGGAGATGGCACATTCCTTCCCTAACTGTAGGATATATGGGGGCAGAGCAACTCTGCTATAAATCTCATCAGTCAAACATAGATAAGTAAACAATAGATCTTTGTTCTCCTTAGCACCTTGTAGCGTAAGCGAATTCCTCCCTTGTCCAGGCTGGCTGACACAGCATCGCATCTCATTGTCTTCCACAGGGAAAGGAGCAGCATTGCTAGTGATGGCAGGGTGGGGCAGCTTTGTAAGGAGAAACGTTCTCTGTGTGCAGACAGGAGCCCCAATACAGGTCAACAGTACACCCCAGAGGTATATGCCTGTGCTCACTTCTTCATATCACTCTCAGCCAAGGAAGCAGAACATGGAGTGAGGTAGGGCTGGCCTGGAGCATCTCCCACCCGGCCGGTCCAGATGGATCATACGGAAAAGGAACCACTGAGACCCTTTCCAAGTGAAGTTCACATGAAGTCATCTGATCTCCGTGAAACATGGAAAATGCCCTTTTTGGTGTAAAATGTATTTGCGATGGAATGAGTTCTGGCATGAGCTGGGATATTGGAATCCTTCATGGCGTCCCCTGGAACACAGCAGAGGCCTGGATGAACAGAGGTCATAACCATCCTCCAGCTAGAACTTACCCACCTAAAGGGTTGAGGGTTAGCAGTGATGTGCTATTATATGGGGAAACTCTTCTGTCAGCCAGGAATAGTCATTGCCTTTCAATGTCCCTGGCCCCTTCCTGAGGATGCTCAGAACTCCTCATGGTCCTGCAGCTAAAGGCAAATGTTTGCATAGCATGGAACCTCAAGATGTTGCACAGGCCCGATCAGGCTCTGTTTTGGCCAGCACTCAAATCATTCCAACTGTTAACCAGTTGGGCCCCTCACTTAACTCCAAGCTCAGTTACCATGCTTCATATCCCTGCCATCATCAAGACTGTGTCACTATCCTACTGTACGGTAAGATCTCTAGGGGCTTGTCCAAGACCAAACTAGCTCCTCAGATGCCCACCACTGTAAATCCTGCCTATTGAACCAGGAGTAACAATCATAATTTAATAGTAATAACATTAATAAATGAATGCTTGTTTCTACTTTATTGAGCACTAACTACGTGTGAGGCATCAATCAGTTGTTTTATATATACATATGGGAATTTTTGACTGACCCAGCACTCTTCCCTGTGCACCTTCTGGGATGAACTGCCTCTCTCTGTTTATAATTAGGGTAGGGGACAGTATCAGTCAGCAGAAGGGTCTGTCATCTGTTCTCCAGGGACACCTGAATTGGGTTTGGGTTGAGGGGATGAGGCCAGAGGCTTATGAAATTTTGTAGATTTTCTGAGATCAACTCTGAGCTTAAGCAGATGGTGTCTGCCTTCTGGGTACAATCCAGCATCACCTTAACAGCCAGGGAGCATTCAGAATCAGGCTATCAGCATGGCTGCAGACACTCGTTTGGTAGATAAAGCATGGGCTGCTCAGTCACATTTGGATTGCAGCTAGCCATGAATAATCTTTAGAGTATGCTCACACCATATTTACTGGACACTCATACAAAGTTATTTGTTACCTAGAATTCAAATGAGCTTTTGTATCCCGTGTGTGTATTCACAAAATCTACCAACACAGTGCCTTCACAGGCAGTGAGCATGGGCCTGGGAGGCGGGGCAGGAGAGGAGGTGCTGGTGAGTACAGGCCATCAGGTCCTTTTCAGAAAAGCACTGTGCAAGGTCACTACCCACAACAAGACTCTGTAGTGGCCTTCTTGTTTTCTGTCTGCCAGGGTGCCTCTAGTCTCAATCCCCATATTCGGAGTTAACTCTTATTCTCACAGCTTTGACAGTCAGTGTGGTTCACAGACAGGGCAGCAAGCACAGCATCTGAGAGCTTGTTAGAGGTGCAGAAATAGGCCAAGATTCAATGCAGAACACTTGCATAGTATGTGTGCAATGCCCTGTATCCCTTCCCTAACCTTTGATAACTGATTCCTATGCCCAGTAAGAAAAAAACAAAAAAAAAAAAAAAAAAAAAAAAAAAAAAAAAAAAAAAAAAAAAAAAAAAAAAAAAAAACCAAAAACCTTACAACATGGTTGCTGCCTGCACCTCCCGTATATATCTATTTCTTGTCTGCCTTCCATGGAGACAGAAACCATGTCTGTTTTGCTCTCTGGTTCATCCCCAGGGACAAAACATGCCTGGCATATATCAGTTGCTCAATAAAATCCATTGAATTATTGAAGAGACCAGACTTCCATTCAGGCTGAGCCTGATTGTTCCAATGTTCCTTTTAGGGGAGACCTGAGATTCAGAACTAACTGTGCTCCCTATATGGGCTGTCCTGAGAGGATTCCACAGGCCTCACATCTCATAGGGCTTTTGCAAGCAGAATTCCTGTCCCAGGTTCTTTCCCACACGACCTCCTCAAAAATGTTGTGATGAAGAAAGGCAGGTACTAGCTTATTCCAGTTCAGATACAGAAACAAAGGCCCTGAGAAGTGAATGTTCTTTCATGAGATCATGCCACCCAGATTCAAAAGAATAAGGATTTGAGATGTCCCCACCCCCAGTTCAAATAAAGGACTTGCTTTCCTGTTCAATTTTGGGGTTTAGGTTTTGATTTTTTTTTTTTTTTTTTTTTTGGACAGGGTTTCATGTAGCTCTGGCTCACATAGTCTCCTTATGGAGCTGAAGTTCACTTTGAACTCTCTGATACTCCTGCCTCTGCCTCTTGAGTGTTTGGGTTACAAGTGTGCACCACTATCTCTGGCATGCCCATGGTCACTCATTCAGGGTCAGTTCCAAGCAGGCAGCTGAGAGACTGTGAAAAAAATTAACTGGGAAATCTTGGAATACAAAGGGCCTCCTGGTCAAATGGGCATGCAGACTGCTGACTTCGCAGAGCTCCTGCTCCTGTAGGCTCAGCAAGCTGCAGAAGCACCAGGTGGGCTCAGCGAATCTGCCTGGAAGACTCTGGGAGGGCTCCCTAGGGGAGGTAGCATGTACTCAGGCCTGGTAAAGGAAGGGGAGGTGGGATGTGTTCTAGGGAACAGGCCAGGCACCATGTGCAGGTAAGAGGTCTCCTGATGGTGAGCTAGTTTGGTTCTCTGTGTCAGGAAGTAGGTAGTGAAGAGTGAGGCTGGGGAGGAAGATCAGCCCTGTCTGCCAAAGCCTGGAATGTCAAGAGTGTCATGGTCTTACCCACGTGCCAGCCATACTCCCAGGAAGACACGATCGGGTACTTGTACTTCTCCTCTGGTATTAGTCGATTCCGCTCCTTGAGGTATAGGGTCCGGCCCTGGCCATCATGGGAGATGCCTTGGAAGAGCAGCTTCAGAGTGGCTGGGGTGGGTTGCCTCATTTCTAAGTTCTCTGGCCTGCCTTGGGCGGCTGTGTACCGAGGGGCTCCCCTTGCCTGCCTCACTGTGTCTCCCTGGACACCTCCAGGCTTGAACAGTTGGTCCTGGACCACCTTGGTCTCTAGCCATCCCGACTGTGCCTCTTTTCTGACAGGGGAGCCAGCGGTTGGCACTGGGTCTGCCTTCAAGACTGACCCAAAGGAGGCCTGCCGGGGCTGCTTCCTGGTCCTGGATCTCTCTTTCAGGTACTTGTGGCCATAGCGGATATTCCAGGTGACCCGAGCAACCAGCTCCTTCTTTATTTTCTCCTCCCATAAGGCATGATTTGAGGAGTCGAACAGGTCCCTCATGTTAGGGAGCCCACGGGTAGGAAGGAAGATTCTTTTTCTTGAAGCTCAGCCATCTGTGTTTGGATGGCTGGTGTCTGTCTCCAAGGAAACGTGTAGCCAATGAGAGTCAAGTTGCTAGGGCTGCTGAAGAGGAGGGGCGGGATGGTGATGGGAGTAGGGTCACCCACTGGCAGGCCAGGTCAGGTCAAGTTAGAAAAGGAAACAGAACCATGGGCCAGTAAGACGGCTCCATGGGTAATGGTTCTGTCATGCAAGCCCAATGGCCTGGGTTCCACCCCAGAACTCAGGATGGAGGGAGAGAACTGACTCCCAAAAGCTGTTCTCTGACCTCCACAGGTGTGTCTGCAATCACACAAGTATCACAACACACACAGACACACACACACACACACACACACACACACACACACACACATTTAATTTTTAATAATAAATTAAAAAAAGAGAGCAGAGCCTGGCCATGACCCTCCCAGGGTGACAAGTAGGAGGTCAAATGCAAATATTCTCAGGGGGACACACAGGGGCCCCTTTCGTTCACACACTGGATTCTGAAGTAACCTGCTATATACCAGGCACCCAGATGGACCGACATTACATAGTCTCTACCCTCTGGAAGCGTGGGCATGTAGCTAAGGAGTTTGCCCTGACAATTCTGTGGCCTTACTCCTCAGAGGCTCAACCCTGCCACCTACCTTCTAGCTAGCAGGCTGTCTGTACACAAGATGATGGTGGGAGTATACTTTGGTATTAGAATAGTGTTTCAGTTTATAAAGTGCATGGGACAGAGTATGTCTGTGGGGCATCTCCATTAATGTCAGCTGGAATTTAATATGTACCTGCCTGGAACTAGGCACTATGCTGTGCTCTGAGGCCTTAAGCCGACTCCTTGCTCATGACCTCCTTTCCAGGTGCAGAATGAAGGTACAGGGAAATGCTGTTAGCGTGTTAGCAGCCGACCACTGCTGCTATATGGAAGTTCACACCTGTTTCACACAGGCTTTAGCACACTCTTTATATTGAGCAGAGTTCTTTCAGATGTGGAGAATGTGGGGGAGGCCAGTGACAGTAAATGCTTGTGCTGCAATAGGATCCTGTATCTGTCAGACTTTTGGTGCTGTAACCAAAATATATAAGAAAAACTTAAAAGGCAAAAAAAGATCGGTTATGGTTCAGTCTGATGTGGTCCACAGTCATTTAGCCCATGTGCTTGGGCAGAAAGGACAGTGTGGCAGTCAAAACGGGCGGATGAGGACTCATTCATCATCTCTTTGTGGACTAAAAGAAGAGAAAGGGACAACAGGACAAGGGGACAAGATGCATCTCCTGAGAGCACAGCCCAGAAACAGCCTTCTTCCAGACAGGTCCCACCTCTCCCTTCGCTCCAGCTCTCAGTAAAGTCACCAAGGATTTATCCATCCTTTAGGTCACAACTCTCATCACCCATGGCAGAAAAATCCTTTGGGGAAAGACCTAGTCCCCAGGACATGAGCCTTTGTGGGGGAATTCTGATTTAAACCACTACAACTCCAAAACCTCTGTCCCAGTTACGGACACAAAACTCTCCTGGTGAATGTACTATCAGAAGGGGCCATAGGCAAGCAGGGGAAGGCTCCACACCATGGGCCAGCCCACACTGGACTCTCACAGTCTCTGCCTCCCTCCTGGAAAGGGCCAGTGAGGAGAGGGCTACCCACAATTCTCCAGGGTACTTGTCTCCCCATCCTTGGCTGTATGTACACTCATTTAATCATTCAACAAACATCCATTTGCTTTAGACCCATGTCTGGTGTCAATGATGTCAGTAGATGAGGAGGGGGTGGAACTGTTATGCTTCCCTGCAAGGTTTCAGCTCGGAAGGTAGAGTTAACAGCATGATATCGGGGTGGTAGGGAGTCAGGGTTGGCTCCTTGGTGAGGGTGCTCTTGGACTCAGCTCACAACCAGAAACATGAGTTAGCCAGGCAGAGTTGAGGAACAGTGAAAAGACTGGGGCCCTCATGTGACAGATGGACAAGCTCAAAGCTGTAAATCAGCCACAAACTCTCCCGGGCGAAGATGAAGGCTAGCGGGAGTTTGGGGACTTAGAGTAGGACATGAAACTCTTAGCTTGTGCTTGCAACCAGTCATTACTGTCTTCTTCCACAGACCAGCTTTCATCTGTCCCAGGGACAGTTTATGGCTGATTTATGGCATTGGGCTTGCTCGTCTGTCAGACGAGAGTCCCAGTCTGTTCACTGTTCCCTAACTCTGCCTGGCTAACTCATGTTTCTGGTTGCGAGTTGAGTCTAAGAGCACTCTCGCCAAGAAGCCAACAGTGGGACACCTGTTCCTCTCCACTTTGGGGACCCAAGTCACCTCAACATCCTTCCAGGTGTCCTGGAAGCCCTGGTTTACCCAGGTCTGTTGAGGGGGATGCTAAATGGTCTGAGCAGAGAGGGGTCTGTCTTAGCTTAGAATGTAAGGCCCCCACTTTCTCCCCATTTTACAGGTGGGAGCACAGAGGCCATTGCCGGGGTGACTCAGCTGGAAAGCCACAGGGCTGGGACTGAAATCCAGACCTGAAATTGTTGCATCTGACACATTGCTTGTGGATCCTCATACACTGGGTCATTCTTCTGCTATTCAGTTAATGGGGCCTGGAGCTCGGAGCCTCTGTAAAACTGTAAAACCCTGCCCAGGTTCAGCTGAACCCAAAGAATGTGCCCCACCTCATTGGTGACTGGGCAAGGCAAGGCATCCTGGTGCTGTGGAAGGGTGGGTGGTCAGTCAGGGGAAGTGCGGGCAATAAAGGACTAGTAGATTCTTTGTGCTGGGGAGATAAACAAGTCCAAAGCTCAAAGCACCCTGGGATACGTGCCACAAGTCAGACTTGTAAATTCCGGGCTCTTGGCTGCCTTTGAGAATGCTGAGGAAGAGAAAAAGGGTGTGAGGGGTGGGTCCCCTAAATTCCTTGTCCATGAGCTGGTCCTCATGGGCTTGGGGGCCCAGACAAAGCAGAGAAGGATCTTTTGTTTGCAAGGATCCCTCCCACCATGTATTTGGCTAAATCTCCAGGGAAAGGCCAAAGAGAAAAACTGAATTCAGCTTGCTTAGAGCCTGCCTCCACTTTTGACATTTGTAAGAAAAAAAAATATTAAATTTTATTAGGTGATGCCCACCTTTTTTTTTTTTTTTTTTTTTTTTTTTTGTGAGCTAGGTCTTTCATGTGGCCTAGAACTTGCCAAATTATGTTAGGCTGGCTGGCCAGGGAGCCTGTCACAACTTCCTAGCACTGGGGATTTCTGGTAGATGCTATCAAGCACAGCTTCTTCACGTGGATGCTGGCGAAGGAACTCACATGTTCTACCACTGAGCTGAGCTGTATTACATTACATTCCCATCTCTCTTATTCTCCCACTTGAATACAGACTTCAGGGGGCATGGCTCAAGGATAGAACACTTGTATTAGACCTGCTCACTAATTAAAACAAAACAACAAAAAAACTAAAACAAAGTCCAGAAAAATCCACCTCCTCAGTGCTGGCTTGACAAGCTGTAAGAAACAAACTGAAAAGTACAAAGCTAGAACACCCACGCTTTTTATTCTGTTGGTTATTAAGGCTGAACAATTTTCAAAGGAAATCAAAATTTCATGTACTGAATTATATAACAAGTGCATCAAAATGTGCCCTCTTTGAGTCCTAGAACAAGTGGCCAAGGGCTAATACATGTACGTGGGCTGTTAATGAGAATTTGCTCCTTGAAGCCACCTTGGTAAGCACTTCCCTGGACTGCAGAGAACAGTTTTGGGAGGCAGGGTGGGCACCCAGGATAGGTAGGGCAGGGTGGGCTGGGCACTGGCCACAATTCCACTAGCTTATGGAGTGACATTTTAGACTCATCAGCTTCAGCTGGGGAACAGACAAACAGCAAGTCAGGAAGGACCTGGCACCAGGCCCACCAAGTTTCAAGGTTTTCAGGGTATTGACGCAAACAATAGTCTGTTTCCACAGTAACCAAGCCCAGGTGCAGATAAGAACTGCCCTCTGGATCCAGGCAACGAGAGCAACAGGTTTCCACCCCTGACATCACAGGCAGCAATGGCAGGGCTGGACCCCAAAGGTAAATCTATCATCACCCCCCAGCCAGCTCACACATACCCGTGTATGAGGCAAATCACTGCCAGCAGAGTTGTCCACACAAAGTAACAAGCAAATAAGTGTTCCCACAGATCCCCATGGGAATTCATGGAAGCCTTACCCCCCAGTCAAAGGAGGCGTGCTCAGAAGGCCAGTTAAAAGGCAGTGTTTTACACCAAAGTCAATGCTGTCATTGTACAAATTCTGCCTCCCCTAGCAAACCTAGTCAGGCTTAGAGGGGAACAAATGAATGGTAGCAACCCTGTGATTCTCTAATAAAGCCAGCATCACACTAGACGGTATCTGTGTGGACTCTTCATGGCCCACAGCTTTACAGAGGCTAGGAGTCTAGGACAGGATTTTCAAGGCAAAGAGAAGAAAGGGTGAATCTGCCTCACCCCTCTAAGCTCAGAGGAAAACAAATGTAGCAGGTATAACAGGAAAATAACAAAACAAAAAACAAAAAACAAAAAAAACAAAAACAAAAACAAAACAAAACCAAAATACAACACAGAAGGCAGAGTAGGGGGATGTAGCTCAGTTGGTAGAATGCTTGTCTACCAACAAAGTCCAGGGTTTGCTCCTGGCACAGAATAGAAAAAAAAAAAAAAAAAAAAAAAAATGCTCAAGGAAGTTCCAGGCTAGCCTGGGACACCGGAGATCCTGTCACATACACATACATACCACCACTAAAAATTATCCAGACTCCCTGCCTGAATCCCTCATCCCCAGACTGGAGGCTTTGGGGCTCAAGAGGGCCTTCCCCATCACCATGGGTACCAAGGACTTTTTTTTTTAGGGCTCCTGCAACCCTTTCCCTTTGAGCTGCTTCCTTGCAGTGACTTGTGGGTAGACATCCCATTCCAGGATCAAAAGGTATAGG